GGGCCGACTTTGACCCTTGAGAGAGGGGAGAGAGACTCCAGTGACACTCACCGCTGGCCTTGCTGTTGGCTAAGAGCAGCCGGGTGCTCCCCAAGGGACCATGGTATTCTCCTGCTGAACATTATCCCCAGGGTGCTGGCACCAGACAAGGCCACTCTGTGACCTCGAAGGAGCCGGACCAAACAAGACCACCCTGCCAGCCTGCCTGTCTGGACAGAGACAAAACATGAGCCTTGCCCCAACCACAAAGACAGCGCCACCCACATCCTCTCTGCCTGGCTAGTCGGTGCGGGGACAGCTACTTGACCAATTCTATCTGTGGTCTGGCTTCACTCCTTCTAACTTCCTGGGAATTTTGTGTGTGAGTTCTGTGTGGCTATTGCAAGGACTAGTAGAACCCAGAGAAGAGAAATGTTGTTGTGAGGTTCCCTCGAGTGCATAGCTATGCACCAGAGAAGGAAACACTGCCCGATCCTGCGCCGCCCCCATCATCGTGCCCCTGCTGGGTGAAGCCCGTGGTGCAGCCACTACGTCAGTCCGTCTCCTTAAGGGCCTTCCTCTTTTTCACTGCCCCGCCCCCCGCCCCCACTTTAGCAAGCATGATGTCTGTCTCTGAGAAGTCAGAGAACATCAATTAAAGACAACACACCAGGTTGCAGACCAAGGCTCTGCCCCACCTCCAACCGAAGTGTCTGGGTGACCACTGTGACAGCATTCTGGGGTCACAATGGGCTGGACTGGGAGAGAACACACGAGGGTCCTCTAGGAGACTGGGCACAGAGGAAGAAGCAAAGGCCAAGTCCGTTGGCAAGGGCATTTACCCAGGCTCATCACTCTTCATGCCCCCACTGGAGGTAGGTGTGCTGTCCTTGTCCCCGGGTACAGATAAGGAAACTGCCGCTCCAGAAACTCAGTTAGGCACAGGTCACCTGGCTGGCTAAGTTCTCTAATGCCGCTGTAACAGAGACACCACAAGGGGGTGGCTTTGACCAACAGACAGTTATTTTCTCACCGTGTAGGAGGCTAGAAGTCTGGATTCAGATCACCGGCTCTTGGGGAAGGCTTTCTCTCTGTGTGGTCTCTAGGTTGAGGAGGTTCCCAGCACAGGGACCCTGGGACCACAGGACATGCTTCACGTTCTTCCATGGTGTTCGGAGGCCCCTCCCTCCGTCTGCTCACTTGTCTCTCCATTTAAATCAAACGCATTGCAGATCACACCCCAGGGAACTCCCCCAACATCAGACCAGAGCAATGACCTGAGTGAGGTTGTGCATGTGCATCTCACCATCATCCTCTTCCCACGGATAAGCGAGTTACATCATGGGGGAGGATGACATCATCACATAACTGCCAAGTAACAACACATGACTGCTGAGGAGAATCGGGGTCCAGCCGACTTGACCCATATCCAGGGGGATCCAATTCAATCCATGGTAGGGTATGTGCTTCCTGGTTTAAAGGGACACATGTTCATCCCTTCCCGTTCTGCAGGCTAGAAGCCCGAATCCAGAGCACCCACTGCAGGGAGAGCCTTTGTTTGCACGGCAGCAGCAGCTTCACACACACACACACACACACACACACACAGCCTTTGTTTGCACGGTGGCAGCAGCTTCTTGGATGCTGCTGTTTTGGACTCATCACACACACACACACACACACACACCCC